GGGGGGGGGGGCGAGTGGCCGGGGCTGCGGCGAAGGGCGCGAGCGGTTTTGGCAGCTGGGAGTGGCCTTCCGTCCGGTGCGCCCGGTGTCATGCTCCGATGGCAGCCGCCAGCAGCGCGCCCAGGGGCGGCCCCTGCATCCGACCCAACCCTACCTCTTCTGCTCCCAGCACCCCCCCCTAATCATCACCTGCCTCCCTCCCATACCCACACTCATCCACACCCACCTACCCCCACGCGCACTTCACAGGCCCTGCCCTACTTTGACCGCCTTGACTATGTGTCCATGATGTGCATGGAGCACTCGTACGTGCTGGCGGTCGAGCAGCTGCTCAACGTGTCGGTGCCGGCGCGCGCGCAGTACATCCGCGTGCTGTTCTCAGAGATCACGCGCATCATGAACCACCTGCTGGCGGTCACCTGCCACGCCATGGGTGAGGGGCGGGACAGCGCGGCGGTGGTGGCTTTCGCGGCTGGCTGGCTGGCTGCTTGGCTGGCGTGGGTGGATCCCTGAAGGGTGGCTGGGACCTATCCAAGGGCCCGAGGGGGGGGGGGCGGCGCCTCGGACAATTGTACAGCCCTGCAGCCTCCCCCGGATAGAGGCGGCTGCGCCGGCCGCGTCCGCCGCCGCCCGCCCTGGCCCCCTTGCATTAGGCAAACCCATCACCATTGCACCAACCCTTCCTCTCTCCCCCCCAACCCACCCCCAGACGTGGGCGCTCTCACGCCGTTCCTGTGGGCGTTTGAGGAGCGCGAGAAGCTCATGGAGTTTTACGAGCGCGTCTCGGGGGCGCGCATGCACGCGGCCTACTTCAGGTGGGCGCCCGCACGCATCACAACGTCTCGCGGTTCTGATCTGATCAGATCTGACGCGATCTGACCTGATCCGAGCGCGCGCGAGAAGCGCGGGGCGGCGGCGACTCTGCGATTGGGTGCTCGCTCCAAGCACGGGGGCCGCGCGCCCTCGCTGGCGCGCGTTGTTGGCCTTCGCTGACGCAGCGTCGCCTGCCGGCCCCTGCAGGGTGGGTGGTGTGTCTCAGGACCTGCCGGTCGGCCTGCTGCGGGACATCTACGAGTTTGCGCGCCAGGTGGGGGTGGGGGGCACATGGGTTGAAGCGTTTGTATGTTGTGTTGCGGGTATTGGGGCACAAAGGGGGGATGAAGGTGTGGGGCGTCCACTGGCGGTGGCGTGTGC